GCTTTTTGATATTAAACATCACCCTAGCCATCTCTTGAAGCACTTTGTTTTTCCTCTCCACAACACCATTTTGTTGAGGTGTTTTTGGTGTTGAGAATTCATGGAATATGTCCTGCAATTCACAAAAATTAGTAAAATCAACGTTCTCAAATTCCTTACCATGACCATTCCTAATTCTCACAATCTTTGTAGCTTTGAAACTCTTCTCAACAAGTAATCTTTTAGCTAATTTTTGAAATGCATTAAAAGAATTAGATTTCTCACGCAAGAAGTCAACTCAAGTATACCTTGAAAAATCATCAACACAAATAAACATATACATCTTACCTCCCAAACTCTCGGTTTGCATAGGACCTATTAAATCCATATGGAGTAATTTCAAAACATATGAGGTACTGAGATTAGATAAAACTTTATGAGATATCCTGGTTTGCTTACCTTGTTGACATGGATCACATACATTACCTTTTGGAGGTTCGAGTTTTGGTAGTCTTTTAACCACTTCCTTTTTTAAAAGTCTTACCAAGTCTTTGAAATTCATGTGACCAAGTTTCTCATGCCATAAGTTTGTGGAATTTTTTTTTTGAATTGAAACATGACACACGGTTAGAAAGCAAGTAATAATTGTCATTTGACATTTTCCCCTCAAGTAAAAAAACACCTTTACCATTCAAAATTTGACACTTGTCCTTTAAGATATAACCACAAATTTTTTGTCACAAATTTGACTAATACTAATCAAATTAGCTTTCAAACCATCAACAAGCAAGACATCTTTCAAAACAGGAAAATCAGGAAGCATAATTGTCCCTTTACGAAGAATTTTACCTTTTTTTCCATCTCCATAAGTGACATGTCCTCTATCAACTGATTCAAGTCCAGTCAAAAGAGATTTATTACCTATTATATGCCTTGAACAACCACTGTTTAGATACTAAAGATCATTTTGAAATGTAAGCAAAGAGGTATGAGACATAAAACAGTTCACATCTGCCTTAGGTTTCCAAATTCTTTTGGAAGAAAAACCATTATTAGCATTATGATTTACATTAGCAACAAAACTATGGTTTTTAAAAACTTTCTTCAAATAAGCAAGCAATAAACCTGAAGCATTTGGGTTTGATGTGACCTTTCTTGTAACAAAAATGGCATATAGGAATGAATTTTGATACCTTCATAGTTTGTCTTACAACAGTACCTTCAACAAGAGTTTCGGTGGCCTTCAAAAACATGTTTGCACTAGCTTTCGATTTCTAGCACCAAGGATTTTCCTTGACCAAAGATTTCATCACGCTTAAGAGAACCTGCATTCAACTTATCAATGATGGCCTTAGCCTCAGTTAGTTCAGTAGAAAGAACAATAATTTTTTTAGATAAGGCTTTCTTTTGTTTCTCAATTCCAAGAGATTGCAACTTTTCACACCTTTTAGCCATTGGTCATGCATTTTATCATATGCCTCTTGTTGCTCAGCATAAATGTCAATAGTGTCATCCGAAATCTCACTCTTACCATCTTCTTGGTTCACGGTAAAGTCTAGAACATTCTCATTATCACCCGATTCATCATCATCACTCTCATCATGCTCACTCTCACTCAAAGTGGTAGCCATGACCTTACTTTTCTTCCTTTTTAGTGTGTTAGCACACTCAAATTATATGTGCCAAAAGCCCTCACATTCAAAACACTTGTTACCTTTATTTTTTTTTCTTTATCTATTGAAAATCTCTTTTTAAAGGTATCAGGGATTTGATGGTCATAAGACTTTCTCATAAAAGGTTTTCGGCCACAACCACTATCATAAGGCTTTTTCATGTTTTTCTTTGTAAGTAAATCACAATTTTTCATCATCCAATGAGCTGAAATCACAATCATCAAAAGGATCAGAATCAACCTCATGTTTAAGAGCCAAACCTTTGCTTGGTTTCTATTTATCCCAACGTTTCAGATTCAATTCATAGGTTTGGAGAGAGCCAATGAGTTCATCAATGTCCATGGCATCCACATCTCGATATTTTTCAATGGTGGTGACCTTTGACATAAACCTCCTATGTAGATAGCAAAGAACTTTCTTGACAAGTTCAACATTAATAAATATTCTTCTCAAAGCAAAACATTCATTAGAAATATCACAAACTCTATTACAAATGTTAGTTATAGTCTCATTATCATCCATGTTCAGATTTTCAAAATTAGTGACAAGTCTTCTAAGCCTATTTCTTTTAACGACACTAGTTCCTTCATTCTTGACTTGAAACTTATCCCAAACATCCTTAGCAAGTCACAATTAGCTATGACTTTCATTTGGTTCACATTAACAACATTGAAAAAAGTATGAATGACTTTAGAGTTATAATTTGTAAGACTTAACTCATCAGCAGTCCAACTAGTCACCGGTTTTGGTCCAGACGCTTCATTTTCAATAGTAGCCGGGGTTGTTCAACCATTCACAACTGTGGACCAGACTCTTTCATCTATAGACTTAAGAAAAACACGCATCCTAGGTCTCCATGTGTAATAGTTATGTCCTTCTAACAGGGGTGGTCTATGAGCATACCTTTTTTTTTTTGTAAAGAAACTCATGACGAACAACAATAAGGTAGATGTTAACACAGCAAACAGTATTGCACACCTAGACATGCAGTAGATCTAAAAAATAAAACGCAACACATAACATATTTTTTCTAAACACAAGACCACTCAGATGCAAAGAAAATCAACCAAAATATGCAAGGATCAACTGAAGCAACTTATCAGGACATGCTTTGATACCACTTGTTAGATAATAAGTTGTTGGTTAACTCACTTTAGCGTATATTTACCCATTTTAAGTGCAACGGAAGTTTTACCAAGTTGATTAAGACATTTCCAATTTAACTAGATCAAACACAAGGGCGGAAAATAAAGGACACAACCATATACATCGTTCGGCTAAAATCCACTTTTAGCTTACATCTATAGACCTTGTCCAGATCGAAGCAGTCTACTAAGTTAAAAACACATTACAAGATAATGTTCAAAGTTGATCTAAGATACAGTAAAAAAAACTCCCTGTTCAACTTTATACTTAGTACCACACTTTAAGTCTTTAACGTGTAGCAACTCCTTGGACCTTTTTCACGTCGGGAACACACCCGAGAATAGCTTGTGAACCACCAAGCTTCAAGCACTGACGCCACGCATTAGAATTAGCAAAGGAACCACATTCCAAGAGCCATCAAGTCAATGAATGATGTGGGAAGGTTTTTGCATACAATGGAAATGAACCTATAAACCTTAAGAGAAAGAATACTTTAAGAAAATTCAGAGTACAATGAAATAAAAGATCAAAAGGTTAGAATCAAAGATGCAAGATGAGAAGATATATAGTGTAAGGTTTCTTGCTCAACACATATGTGCCAAATCAGCCAACAAGGGGCTTACCCATACTTGTCCAAATAAGGAAAGTATTCCTTATTTTGGTTTGGACCACAAAACAAATTGGGAAAAATAACTTTATTCTCTAGGACCACTTAAGGATGTTATGACACATGTAACAGGTCCTAAAAAGTTATAGACAAAGATAAATAATATCTTTTTCACTTTATCAGACATGCAACTCGTGTTGGGTTGCAAATGTCTAAAGTGAGAGTGTAAGCACAAACTATTGTGCACACATACACAAAACGACCCAAGCCAAGACACAAGTCTGGCAACCAGTGTACATGTAGAACTGATGTGCACACACACGACAAAGGAAACAAGCCAAATACTAGTGTGTATACATAACTGTTGTGCACACACAACTCATAAGTTTGACAAAATATGAATATTCCACAAAAACAATCGATCTAAGTCTCGTTAATTAGAAATTAAGGAGTTAATTAATTAGGGAAATTAAATTAATTAAGCTTTAAAATTTGAATTTAATTGTGCTTCCTTGATTGATTAACATGAGGATCAATCGAGTAGCTTTTGTTTCCAGAGTTAAGCTGAGGTGCATAGGCTGCATAGAGAGTAGTATAATAATTTAAACTGAGAAAATCAAATGATCCTTTAAGCATTTTGGATTCCTCTTCAGAGAATTTTAGCAATCTGTTTCCAACAAAAGAATCCATGCTATGAGGATAGTCTTCATTTGTTATTGGGTCCATAAACTTGAATGTAGGTTAGTTCATGCACAAGATTAGCCAAAATAGAAAATATACAGACACAAGAAAAATTTTTAAGGTGGGGATGTTCGAATTTCTAAACCTAAGTTTTTGTTTATTAGTGTGGACAAATACTAAAAAGACAAACGTTTACTTTTATTATTAATTTTTTTTGTAACCTGGGTTGTCCGGGCTAACTTACATGCGCTTCAACTAATTCTCCAAGACCCTAGAACTATCGACTGGGTAAAAGCTTCAATGACCACCCCTATTAGCAGTCGAGATAAATCGAATTTCAGACCTCTTAAGTAATATATCCAAGACATTCATATATAAAATAAATCGACTAAACATAAGTTTATAAATAAAGATATAATTCTAGTGATAAGTTGACACTTACAAAACAATTCTAGTGATTATTGAGTGGGATTAAATTTTTCTATCTCCATTTTTTCTTTCTTTCTTTATTATTATTATTATTATTATTTTCCATTTGTTTTTTTTTTTTTTTTTTGAAAAGCAGAGTTCTGAAAGTTTATCAGCGGAGCTTGTACAGTAGAAATTCCTTTAAATTTCGTAAAATTAATCATTCTTTTGTTATGCACATTTGACCAAACTAAAATATTACTTTTGATTTGAAACTCATTATCAATCATTAATTTCTTACTATTCATATATAATGAGTTGGAGAAAATTAATATCAGAGGATGAACAATATTGTTTATAATAATACTTTTATAAAAAGTTAGTGCTGATTCTTTTGTTAGTTGCATAATGTGTCACTGCATACTCAATTGAGGGTTTTTTTGTGTGTGTTTATTCATGGTCCTTTGTTATGTTAACCTCTTTTCACCACAATCGTTCATGGACTATTATGTTGATTCTGTGATGATTTTATTTTATGCAGGCGCTTCATGAAGCTTTAATGAGACAAGAAGAATTGCTTGCGTACATAGACAGTCAAGAAGAAGCTAAGTTCAGGGTAGGTTGATTGATAGACCATTCTCTTATAATTATAAGGAAGAAAATAAGTTCTATGTTTAATTCATAGTTTGTGGTTCTGATCTTTCCCATCTGTATATCAGAAGAAGAAGTTTTGCTGGTAAGATGGTTTGTCGGCGGAGGAGGCCTACACAGATTGCTCGGCCGTATCTCAATCACGAGATATATATACTGAACCAACCATGTCGATCAGCCAAACGTATACTACTCTCAACAGTGTAATCCCAAACTTATGTTAAGCGAAATTAATGTTTCGAAACTATGCTTTGTGTTGTTTATTCCTTTTTTAACTCGTTCAACTTGTTGTGACACTCGAAATGAGCACATTTAATATCATGAGCTTTCGTATATAAGTAGCTTTTGTGTATGTGTTTCATACTGAGAAAATTAACTTGGTTAGACTGCTAATTGCGATTAAAATTTAAACATTAACCATTGCCTTCTCTGAGCTAATAATATTAACCTCAGTGGCTGGCTTTTAAAAATTTTTAACTCGGGAACTTTAAGTCTGAGCTTATTATATTGGCAATAACCAATCGGTGAGCTCTCGATTCCTCCATCAGTGGATGAAGTAGTTGAAACTTGAAAGTTTTTGTTTTACAAGGTTTGGATATAGATCTGTTGACCAGATGATTCAAATCTCTTGATTTTCCGTTTGGTTCTCGAGAAAAATTTGGATTTTCTCGGCAAACAAACGGATTCGTAATTTTTGAATCATATGTTTTTTATTGTTGTGAAATTGAGAATTTCGTTTGTGTTTTTGTGTGATTAGGCGTTTTTTTGTGGAAGTTTTTGGATTTTTGAAGATGAACAAACGAATGGATTTGTAATTTTTGAATCATATGTTCTTTATTGTTGTGAAATTGAGAATTTCGTTTGTGTGTTCGCGTGATTAGGCGTTTTTCTGTGGAAGTTTTCGGATTTTTGAAGATGAACAAACGAACGGATTTGTAATTTTTGAATCATATGTTCTTTATTGTTTTGAAATTGAGAATTTAGTTTGTGTTTTTGTGTGATTAGGCGTTTTTCTGTGGAAGTTTTCGGATTTTTGAGGATGAATCAATTGTATCATCGGAAGAACGCCTTCGGCGCGCGTGAGGAGACGGGCTGTCTGTCGTTTGTCCGAAGCCACGACGAGTTGGGATTTTGGCGAACAATTGTACTAGGCCCTTGAGATGGCAATTGAGGTAAATTTTTCTTTCACTCTCTCTTTCCTTTTAAACTTTGTTTTCATTTATTTAGAAGTTTCAGTTTTAATGGAATCGTCAATTCATTACAGTCATCCAGTTGGGGTGTCTGATTCAAAGGCCGGGGCAGGGCTTCTAGACATCATTCTCATGAAGGTAAGCTTAATTAATTGTTAAGGTTTTATTATGTGAAATGATTAGTTTTTCATATGTGATGTATGACTAAGTCTGCAAAGGGTGGTGCTTTTTATTGAATATAAATATTTTCTGTTTTTATTTGATTGTTTTAAATGCAGGTAATTGGTGAGGCCGATTTTCAGCGCAATAGGGATTTGGAGAAAGTAATTTTCTTTTTTATGTGTATATTTTTCTTTGTAATAAACTTCGTTTCAATTTATTTGTGCTGGATTTTGAAATTTTGTTTGTATGTTGGAAGTTTTTGGTTGATTCTGGTCTGTATGAGAGTGAAGAAGATGCAAAGAAAAAAGAAGTAATTTGGCCCTTGATCGGGTAACTTACCAGTTTATTTGAGTTGTTTTGTTGTTGGCCCACTTATGCTCAAAAGACAAAACTCAACTTGGAGATTTTATCCGACTGGATAGGTTTAATTTAATAAACTTTCATGTGATGCTGCTTCAGGAATTCGTATGATGAATGAATCATGGGCTTGGGACATAACCCATGCCTTATTCTTTATAGAGAGAACAACACTGTTAAACTTGCAAACAGATAATCAAAACTAAAGGTTTTTTTAGGTATAGGAATTTGTATATAGTGGGGGAGCGGGGGTGGAGAGTGACGGTTTTGTTGTAAGTTTTTTGAACTGATGGATGTGAACAACTTGATTGCTTTTGTAGATTGTTGGTTTGGTGGGTGGAAGTGCAGACGGGAAGGGGAGGGAAGGTAGCATTCCACCATCTTAGGCAGTCCAGGGTTTTTTGAGTGGATTTTTATTTTTATTTTTTTAATAAGGTGTAATTTTATAGTTTATTTTTAATTTGGATCTTTAACTTGGTATTCCATCTTAGAGATTCTTCTTCTTTAGCTCCCGCGGATATATGGGGTTTAATATATGACATGCTTTTTATATGCAGTTCTATCAGCGGTGTCAGGGTTGCAGGTTACAGAAGCTAAATTAATTGATGGTAATCCGGTTTTCTTTTTCCCTCTCTCTCACATCCGGATATATTCCTTTTGATACTTTAATGCTCCTCTGGGGCATTTTTTCTATTTTTTAACTCCTTTCGGGTAAAAAAAAAAAAAAAAAAAAAAAAATTGACATATACAATCCAGGCAAGGGCTAAATTTGTTTAATTTTATCCATAGTGGATTTTTGGTTAGAAGTTGAGGTTTTGGAATAAGAACATTAGTCTACCTTGCATTAGAATAATGGCTGGTAATTGATGTTACAAATTTAAGCCAAAAATTTAAGTTAGAATTGCTTGACCTTCTATTTTATTTTTTCAAGAATTGCAATGTTTATGTCATGCCCGGGAAGTTGCTATCCCTACCACCTATCTTTTTCGATGATGTATAAAGTGTTGATACTTCTGAAACCTTAACCCTTTCTCTTTTTGTCGTTTGTGATTAAATTAGTGTCATGCACAACTTTTTTTTTTTCCTTTTTAATGATTTTACATCATTAATTAAATTAATCTACAATTTATGAATTTCACTATTTGCATGTATTTCTCTCGATATCATCTAATAGGATATTATGTGGCTTGCCATTTCCATTTAGGTTTATCCTTATTGCAACGGTGATGGATTGTGATAATTTGCTGCTATTAGTGATGCTAATGGTCAGGTTGTATGTGGTCTTAAACTCTGAACTAATGAGTCAGTAATCGATCAATTTGCAGAGTAAGTATGGCAGAAATAAGCCAGGGTATACTTATAGATATTTTGGACGAGGAATGGATGAGAGACTCTCTTCCTGATGATGGTAATATCTTTGGACCAAATGAAAAGAAAAAGAATCTCCTCATGTCTCATTTGTTCATATTCTACTTTTATTAATGCAGAGATCGGCCTGATGATGCTGAGGACTCAAGTATGTCCATCATCACCATGGTGAGGCATAATTGGAAAGAAAAAATATCATATATTGTTTTAATATTTAGTTTATTTTGTGTATTCATAACTTCATGGTGTATCTGCTTGAATTTATGGGACTCTTCTAATACTTCGTTTGGTCAAACTGCTAACTTTTCTCTTGCTTTGCGACATTTAGATTGTGTTATTTGTGTTAGACTTTTTACATTATGGTCCTACACTTTTAATATAATTTCATTAAGGTCCTACACTTTTATGCTGATGTGGATTTTAATGTAAAAGTGTAAAAGTCGTATCTCTTCTCTTGAGTAGTTGTCTTTGATGGAAAGACAACTGCATATAAAGGAGACTTTACAGGTCCCCATTAGACGCAATTTTTTATATTGATTCCCAAAAACCATCACCCAAAATTGCAGTCAATGGAAGATCCTGTAATTTATAAAGGAGCAAGAAGATCAAAGAACAATTGCTATGGCTGGAGGTTTGTCATTTACTTCCGCATATATTCCATGAAGATTTTATACTGAAATTGATTGTATTGTAAATGAATATTGGAGTATGAATGTGTTTTAACAATTTGTGTTATCATAAGTGCATTAATGCTTAATATTATTTTTTTTATTCCATTTTCTGTAGAGAAGGAATTCTGCAACTTTATACATTTCCGTGTTATATGTTGTGATGCACCTTTATTAAAGACAGTTTAAGAAGCTTCAACTCAAACACTACGGTCGTATGATTACGAAGAGGCGGCAAACAACAACACCAAGCAGACGATGAGATACAAATGATGAAAGCAAAATTAAAAAAAATCCTAATTAAATAATAATATTAACCCTAAATAAATAATAACCAAATTTTCAAGCAAAAATTCTAAACACTTGGTAACATTAATTTGTCCAGTTCAAAAATAATACAAATTATATTATTTACTTGCATTAAATTGGTATACATGGAAATGTAATATTTATTTTAAATTATTATTCTTAGTCTTACTTTCTTTATTGTGGAACTAAAAAAAATTATAATTTAATATTACTTATTTGGATTAAATAGGTATACATGGACATGTTGAACTCTTTCCACCTTTGGGTTAGGGTTTTGACCTAACTTTGATTACAATGGTTTAATCTATAATAGATGTTGTTTTTAAGTTCTATTGCTTGGATTTTGTATTTATTATTGTTCTTAATGTAATTGAATGTTATCTTTGGTTCAATTATATGTTGAGCATAATGAGACTGAGAAATGATTCATGTGTTAGCCTCTTAAAGTAAATACCATAGATTGATGAATGCTAGAGATAGGTTCGGAGATCTATGAAATCATTTTAGGACTCCATTGGGCTTAATAGACTTAAAACTGTTAATCTTCATTTTGTTGGGTGCAAAAGCTTAATAGGGATAAGTAGGAGAATATAGCCTGAGAAGGTATATTCTGTAGATTAGAGTTTCCGATTTATAATTCTTGCATGTGAGTTTAAAGACAACATCAACTGTAGATTAAATTAGAGTAACCTAATGAAGTTGAAACCGTTAGTCTTTGTCTTGAATTGATATTTTCGTAATTAGTTGATATTTTCTTAATTAGTTAGATTTTAATTTATGTTATTGATTTTGTGTTAATTTGTGTTTTTGTCTCCCGCAAATCCAACAATCTTTGTGTTCTTCAACTAGTTATGAATCTAGGAAAATTAGTACTTAACACACAATTCTTGTGGGAACGATACTCTTTTCATCATTTTATTATTTTTTGCGACTAGTGCACATGTTTATGAAATCACTTTTCAAGGTTTTGGTACTATTTATATCAAATTATAATTCGTAATTACTTTATTAACTGAACATTAAATTAAATATACTATAATAAATATTTTTTAATTTATTATTTTACTCAAACTTATGCAACATAGATTAATGAGTTGGATTTGATGTTATATGTGACTTTATGTAATTGTTGATTGATATTATTTGCTATTAATGATATATATTAGTAATCTTATTAATTATTATTTGTTATAAATGTTGTCTTATGTGAATCTAAATATCATTCTTTATTTTGTCATGTAGAAAGTTTGTTGGACATGTGACATCATATAATTGTGCCATCCAAAAGTCTAACTAAAACCTTGATTATTGTCATCATCATATAATCAAGTCATCCAAAAGTAATTCTTTTATTTTTACATGGAAATATTATTGGATATGTGATATCACGTAATCGAGGCATTTAGACCCATAATATCATGTAATTGGGATAGTCTAATTAAGTTAGGCATCCAAAGGTCTAATCAAAACTTTTACGAATTCTACGAACCGTCAACCCTTTACCTTTCTTCATATTCTACGAATCGTCGAACCCTTCACCTTTAGATTAATCTCGATACGTTTCCATTTCATTTCATCCACTTCATCTTCTTCTCTCTTCATTTCTTAGTTACACGACCGATCTATCTAATTTGATTCAACATCACTCAGTACCACCGCCACTTACCAACGAACAACTGTCTCTCCATCACTCAAAAAACAGAACAATTTTACGCTTTTAGTCTCCAAAACTTCATTTTTTCTTTGTTCGCAAGCATTGGAAACATCCAACGGAGCATCATCCAAGCAAACACACAGTAGAGTTTTTCTTTTTAATGGAAATGGGGTAGGGGTTGACTTGGTTTGTTCAAAATTTGAGTATTTATTTTCTTTTTTGTTTTTTGATGATGGTAAATGCTTTGTTGATTGTTCTGTGAATTGGGTTGTCGTATGATCGATTAATTAATGTTGATATAGATCTTAGATTTTAGATGGGATTGGCTTGATTTTGTTGAAAATCTGAAAAAATTCAATACTGAAATTGTATCTTACCTGTAAGCATGTAATGGGTTTGTTTTGTTTACTGTTTGCTCATTGTTCTGTAACTTGGGTTTATTGAATGATTAACTGAATTAGGTTGCCATGGTTGTTTTAAGATGGGTTTGAGATGGGGTTGACCTTGGTTTGATCGGAAACTAAGAAAGTTTGATACCTTTGCTGCATCTTAGAAGAAACTAAAAGAACATGTTAAGTAGATCCAAAATCATTTATGTTTTCTAATGTATAGAGTTGCCTTGGGAGATAGTTGGATCTCTCCAGAGGATTTTGTGGTAAGTTTGTTTGATTTTTTGATTAATTTAAATTCGTATTAACTTTCAATCTGGACAGAAATTTAACTGAAATATGCAGCATTCTTGGGGTCCTCTGCTTAAGAAATGCAGGAAATGTAAAATGCCCCTCGAAGTATAGCAGAACAATTTTGAAGGGCATAAATAATTAAGTATTTTGGAACATGGCGAGTGCCAAAACTACTAGATTGTGTTCTCTAAAATCAGTGAGAATTTAGCTCACATCTTCAGTGCAATTTTTTTTGTTTACTTTTGCAAGTTTAGATTATTGTCAATTTTTTATGGTAACTTAAATTTCTGGTTCCACTTTACCTTCTTCCCCTTTATTTATTTATTTTTTTTGTGGTTTGCAGAGGAGATTTTGCTAAATAAATTTGATGCTGTGACATATAGAGTTCTGGCATACTTTCTTCTGGGTTTAGTCAGGATATACTCCAAAAAACGTTGAATATCTGTTTGATGCTTGCAATGATGTATTTATTAAGATTAATGACTTTGTGGTTGGTGAAAAAAGTAAGTCACGGAAGGGAAAACTGAGTTTACCGTATTATGCTATTACTGTACCAAACAGGTTTGAACTTGATGCTTTTGATCTGGAGATTCTTGCAATAAGAAGGTACTTTATCAGAAAAAATTGCAATAAGAAGGTACTCAAGATACCTGAGTTACTTGAAATCTGCTACTACTCCTGATGGAGATGGTGATCTTGATAGCTTGATGACCGGCGAAATAAAAAAGAAGCTCAAGACTATTCCTGAAAATGTGAGTATGTGATGTAAGTCGTCTACCTCTTTTCAAATAGAAAATCGAAGTGAATGGTTTGATATTTTACTCAAGATTTTGTTTATACTTTTGACTGATGAGGAGGGCAATCGGATTACGTATTCACACAACTTCAAGGTGATTTTATGAGACCCAGGATTAATGAGGTACATTAGAAATTTCAAAAAAAAAACTTAGTATTGGCATATTTTTCATGATTTAATCGACATAAATAACTTAATTTATATTTTGAAGGAATCATTCTGTCTGGAAATGTATGATTACTTTGCCACCACTCAAATGTGTTTGAAAGCTCAACTATAACTCCTTTCATTTGGTTTAATATTGAAGTCAAAACATTCCATACTATCTTCTCACATATAAATGCATGGTTGCCAAACACATCCTTATCATTTTGGGTGCATTTGTGATATGGGTTTTTGTTTTATTTTCATAAGATGATTCTAATTTTTAAATTAATCATCTTTTATCTTACAGGTGGATGAGCTACTTCAAAAAGGGGTGAATGTCACCATATGCAATGGACAAGTAAACCATTTTTATATTTATAATCAAGAGTCCTTTTCAGCAGAAACATAAAACCTTAGAAAATGGGTTGCCCATATTCTTGTGGACCACCCCATTATCAAACCATTTTCAATTTTTTGGTTTAACTGTGATTATGACATGATTTTGTGGTTAACTGTAGTTGGACGTAATTTGTACAATAAAGAGAACTGAAGCATCGAATTTATTAAATATAGCAGATATATCCACCTCTTAGGTATTCTCTCACTCTATTCAATTTGTTTATTGAGTTATTTTGTGTATTTAATTGATGTGACTGGTGATTAATGGATCTCATTTGATGTCAATTTTTACAGATAGATCTCAGAGTTGCTTTGGGATCAGGTTGTGTTAGAGCTGGGCAAGGCACCGGTCCCTTGCGGGCCCGGGCCTAGGCCCGTTTGATTTGGGACCAGTCTCTCATGGGCCTGGGATCGGTCCTAGGCCCATGAGAAAAACCAGGACCCGGACCAGGCCTTAGGCCTGGTCCCATGGGGTTTGGAAAATTTTATTTTCCCCTTTCAATTTTTTTTTTTTTTATATTTTGGGGGCAAAACGAAATTTTATAGGAGGTTTTTAGTATTTTTAGGGGTTGATTAGTAAGTTTCTAAAAATTTAATTAATTTTAAAAAATAATAAATTAATAGTTAATTTTAATTTTTAACATAAATGTAATATTCACATTTCACAAATTCACGCTTCACAAATAAACAATTAAATAATTTTTTTTATTAAATTATTCATCTTCAATTTTATCGTCAACACTAGTTACATTATTCAAATCTGTATTCTTAAAGAGTTCGAGTAGTTCGGGATCTTGAGGGTGTTGTTGTAGTCTTCTTTTTGCATGAGTTCAATCCCGTAAACACGTTATCACTTCAATCATCTCATCGGTTAAAGAACATCTTCTGTCTTTAACAATCCGACCACTCGTTGAAAATGTTGACTCGGATGCAATTGTAGAAACCGGCACAGATAAAATGTCACGTGCCATTTGGGATATAATGGGAAATTGACTTTCTTGTTGGGTCCACCATTGAAGAATATCCATGTCAAGTTGCTCATTCATCGTCATAAAGGTCAAGTCCACCTGTAAGTAGTGAGTCATCTCATTTGGTCTATGTATGTACGAGCTGGAGCTAGAGCTGGAGCTTCCGCCACATCCCACATACGCTCACTTGCTTGATCCTTGGGGGGGGGGGGGGCTACATCAAGGTCCTGATCGCCTCTCTTAGACCTTCCACTTCCACTTCCACTTCTACTTCCATTGTATCTGTTCTCATATAAAGAAATAAGCCTATCCAATTTGTGTTTAAAGTCTGTCAAATAAGACGTATAATCATGTCTTAAATAATGACATAACTTAGTAATTACACTGTTAACTATGGATAATTTAAACCTAGGATCTAGAAAAAGGCCTAATCCATATAAGAATGGAATATCTAACCAATATCTCTTATATTTTTCTTCCATACTTGAAACAATTTCACTTAAAATGTTATTATATCTATATTGATAAAAAGTTTTAGCAATTTGAACTAAAATATCTAACACTAAATTGGTAGTTGGATAATAAATACCACTTAATGTATTAGTAGCATCATAAAAAATTTTAAGAAATGAATAAAAAAGTTCACAAACCGCCTAATCATTATAGTTGACAACTTCCTCTGGATAGTTCTTCCGGTTGACGAAATCTGTAATTTGTTTCATGGTTGGCAAAGCTTTTTTCAATATCAAGTAGGTAGAGTTCCAACGGATAGACATGTTTGTACATAACTTCAAAGGTCGAACCGGTGGGTCCTCTTGCTTACAATATTTGACGTACTCCTGCCATCTTTTATTACTACCGTCGACGATAAATCCGATAGCTCTACGCACCCTCTCCATCTTTGAATGTATAACATCTAAACCTACTTTAACTATCAAATTGATGATGTGACAAGCACATCTCTGGTGATAAAATTTGCCTTCACCAAGTAGATCCAATTTCTTTTCAAATAAAGATATTGCTACGGTGTTAGCAGCTGCATTATCAAGCGTTAGCGCTACAACTCTATCAGTTAAATATTCTTGCAAAACTTCAAGAATTGTAAAATAAATAGTTTCAGTACTATGTTTTTCATATAATGGTTTAAAACCTATCAATTTTTGTTGTAAACCCCAATTATGATCTAAGAAATGTACTGTGACAGTTAAAAAATTGGTTTTTGATCTACAAGCCCATATGTCTGATGTAAGTGCAATAGATATATTCCTAAAATTTTGAAATTCGTTTTTAAGTTTATTATTTATTTTGTTATAAAGTTTTAGTATATCTCTTCTACTTGTAGTTCTACTAACAGGGGTATATGCTGGACAAAATGCAGTTTTAACCATATTAACAAAAAAAGGATTTTCAGATAAACAAATGGGAGAGTCTGTAGCAACTATATATCTTGCTATTTCCTCTCGTGCAACATGTGTATTGTATTGCCATGTTGAGAGAGTTGAGGATTGTGGATTAAAATTAAGTTGAGTTTGAATTTGTCTACCTGATCCGCTTGAAGATGCATTTATTTGGGGATGCTTCTTCTCTACGTGTCGTCGCATCGTCGAAGTCCCCTTCTCAGCCCCAATAATGGTTCCACATAAATTACATATCCCACACGATTCTTCCCCCTCCCCATTTGTCTTTGGCCGTTTTGATTTGGTGAAGTATCGCCAGACATCGGACACGACCCTCTTTGACGGTCGGGGGGGTTGGGCTATGTCCGTGCCCGTTGACTCGCAGCTCACATGTGTTTGGCTACACCTCGTCCCGACCGAATGTGGTTGTGGAATTACAGCTGCATCCTCTGGAGGAAATGGTGAAAATGGATTGAAGGCTTCAATTTCTTCGGTGGATGGAACGTAAAACTCATTTGGGGAAGATATTATAAATTTATGATAAAATAATAAATAATTAAAATGAAAAGAAATTAAATAATAATATGAAATTATGATGATATTGAAAAATAGAAAAAAATTTGAATAATATAAATAAATAATATAAATAAATTATAAATATAAATTGAATGAGAAATTGATTGGAGATTTGGAGAAGAGAGATTGAGAGAATGAAAGATTGATTGGTGTGAAAAAAATTAAAGGTTTTAGGCTTATTTATAGTGTAGTTGTGGGGGGGAAAATGAAAAAAAAAACTTATAATTATATAAATATAACCGTTGGTGTGAGTTGACCGTTGGCAGCCAACGGTTAAATTTTTTTTTTTTTTAATTAAATTTTGTAAAATTTTATTTTAGTCCTTAATTTATACTTATTTTAGGGGGTTTAATGTAATTTTACAAAAGACTAAAATGATAAAAGGTAAAAAAAATTTGGGCCCAGGCCCGGGCCTTGGAGGAGGGCCCAATGGAGGGCCCGGGCCCTCCTCCTTATGCCTAGTCCCGTTTTGGGATCAGGCCTCCTACGACCGGTCCTCCCGGTCTTAGGACCGGTTTTAGGCGCTGAGCTTTTGGGTCCGGTCCCAGATGCCCAGCTCTAGGTTGTGTATAGTGGCGAAGGAATCATCAACTTATTAGTTGTTTAGAAGGTTTTATGCTTCTTCTGGCAAGTGGTAGATGAGTATCAGAAAATTTTTGGTGATTCATGGAATGACTGTACATGCAAACAACTCTCAACCATGACCCTATCTGAATGAAGCTTTGACCAAATTTCAGGTATTTATGATTTCTTTGTCACTCTTGACCATATTTGCAAACATCAAGAGAGCATTTGAATGTTTTTGTAGGTTTACCCTAGATTCCAGATTCAACCAAACCCTCAAGAATGTTCAGGGTTATAATAAAAAGTTGAACAATTTGTAAAACCATTATAGATGCAACCGAAGCTTTTAAAAGAAAGAAAAAGAAAAAAAGAAGAAAATATCACACTTGGGCAAAAATACATCCAGCTCTGATAGATTATGTGCGAATGTCAATGACATATTGAATATTTGAATTTGAATTTGTTTCTTTGGTTTGTATGTTGTGCTTACATAAATAAAATTGAATTGTCCTAGAGCGAGTAAATTGGTATGCACAACGCTTCATAAACAACACTATATTATCAACAAACAACAATAAACAACACTATATTATTAACAAACAACAATATTTGAAATACAATTCTATAATCAAACCCGCACAAATATATGCCAACTAAAGGGGAAATGAAGAAAACCCTAAATAAATGGTAACCCAATTTTCAAGCAAAGCGGGAGGACTCTTGGTTCAACATTAACTGCTTGGTTCACAAAACATTACAATTTAATATTAACTCTAAATAAATAGTAACCCAATTTTTGGTAGGATTGTTGGTTCAACATTAATTGTCCGGTTAAAAAACATTACAATTTAATAATACTTAAATGGATTAAATGGGTATACATTCACATGTAATATTTATATGAGTACTATTCTTAATTTCTTTATTATTTATTATTTTAATTATTAATTGAACATTAAATTAAATACTATGACAAATAATTTCTAATTTATTATTTTACTCCGTGTTAGGATACTATTTATATTGTATAATTTCCAAATTATGTTAGTATATTCAGTAATTTATAACTAACATAATTAGAAGATTTAATAGATTATTTTCGACCTATATAATGTATGTACCTCTATGATAAAAGTCAATCAATTGAAACATCCAATTATTCAAACAAATATAGTTTCAAAACTAATATCGTAAGCAACCGATGGAATGTGCGAGCTTTTTCACTAGTAATTATCTAATTAATAAGCACCTCTCTTAATTAAAATAAACAAAATTTCCTCTATAGACATGTGTTTAGACTTTAAACCAATTTCGAAATTAATAAGTTACGTGCTTACTTTCTATATTTAAAAAGCTTATCTAATGTACGCCATTAAAAAAGATAAAATTCTGTCTCCTTTTAAATTTCTTTTTTTCCCCTTTCTAGTAACACACCTTTCCAGAGCTCGACTGTGATTGCCATCTAGAAAGAAGAAATTCTAATACTACTTTAAGATATATTACTTGTTAAGAACTTGAATATACGTTATTAGATCTGAATTATAAAATATCATTTCAGTTTTATGAAATAAATCTAATAATGTCGAAATTAATATTAGGATATCTTGAATAAAAATTATGTAATGTAATTCTCTAGTGAGGATATAGGGTTCTCTAATCAAGACGTCATGATATTAACTTGTTAAGACTTTCAATATATATCATTAAATTTGAATTATAGAATATCACTTCAGTTCATAGAAATCAATTAAAAACCCATTTATATAACAAAATTCTTCATCTATTTTTGTTCGGATATGAAATAGTTAAGTGTTGAATGCTTTACATTTGTGCATAAGTTGACTTGTTGACCAAAGAGTTGACGTGTTGCTCTACTTTAGCTTCCATTCCAGCTTAGCTACTTTGTAT